GAGCAAGAGCAGCGATGGTGCTTAGCTTTTATTTGCAAACTGGAGTTAGCCCTCCCCGCCCAGCAGAGGGTTCGGCCTGGGCTGGGAAAGCAGAACTCCATTTTGGGCCCCTCACTCGGAACGCCCCCCCAACCCCCCCAAAAAAACACAACAAACAACAAACCATAGCTCAGGACATGCACTTCTTCACTGTGGAAAAAGAGAACTTGACTTTATTCAGAAAGTCTACAAAATACAGAAGGCGGATAACTCGCTTACTGTAAGTCAGAAAATAAATAAATTCTGGAGGCCGGGGCAATTATTTTACAAACATTTTTTGGTTGTTGTTGCCACCCGGCTTTCCCTAAATATAAGATAAAATGTGATTTATTTGCAGATATAAAATATAAAGTCCAGCTCAGGGCCCACGCCACTTTTCCCGGGGAGTGGGCGCTAGGGCTCTGGCTGGAGAGAATAACTTAGATTCGTGCAATAAATAAGAGCGGGAGGGCAGCTGTGTACAGTGTGTGGGGAGGCGGGCTGGGCTTCCCAGAACAATCATCGGCCGTGGCCAGCCGCCACCCCAGGGGGGACGTCCCTTTTGAGGACCCCCACCCCAGGCTGCAAGACGGCGGATCTGTCATCTCATCTCCCCACTTGCCTCCCGTCCCCTTGCTAATTGGCTAGCCAGCCCCTTCCCTCTCTTCCATCTACATCCCCTTCTCTCTCCTCTACTTCTCTTACCTTGTTTCACAGACAGCCGTCTCCCAGGCCACGGCCGCCCTGCCTCCCGTCTCCAGCCCCTGCCCACTGTCCCCTGGCCGTGGCTGGGATCGCAGGACGGCAGTGGGAGGACCTGGCTCTAAGTTTCAGCTCAACCACTAAGCACAGGTGGCCCATCCAGGGGTGGCCCGGTTCCATCTGCTGGGGCAGGAGATTTCCCCAGGCCCAAAGCGGAGGGGGGAGCACCAGCTCCCCAGCTGGGCAGCCCCACAAGACAAACGCCAAACCTAGTGCCGACTCCCAGGCCGGGCAGGGGCCACGGGCACATCTGAGCAGTTTACAAAACGAGGGGGGCCCTCTCCTCCTCGAGGACACTTCTCCAGTCAAACTCGCTGTCTCCCTCCGCCCCGTCTAGGAAGGCTGCGCTCCCGGCCAAGGGAGACCTTGGCCCACCCCGCCCCTCTCACCAAGGTCGCCGCTTCCCAGGGCCATTAGGTGCCAGGTTCAGGGGCTGCACCAGGAAGGGCTCCAGGGAGAGAACCTGTGTTCCCACGGGGCTGGTGGCTGCGGAGAAGTGGCACCTGGGACAGAGGTCGTGCTCAGGCACTTGGGGGAGCCGGGGTCGGAGGGGCGC